AAACAACTAACAATCAACATTATAATCAACAAAATTCAAATAAGGGGATCAAAAGACACAGATCTATAAATTTTGACCTTTTAACCTTCAACAAAGTTTTTAAATGATCAATCAATAAGGGAAAAACTAAAAAAAAAAGTTTTTAATAAAATTTCCACCTGTCAAACGCGTGCATTTCACTTATCAACATAAATGTGGCTGTGACTTTTTAGGGGTGTAATTATTTCAATTCTAACAGTTTAGGGGGTGATAGGACCGCCATGAAATTCAAGTGTGTAGTTGGAAATTCGAGTATAGATTAGGGGGATATTTGACCATTTTCTCTATTATTAGCTAATATATATTATATAATGTTATATAATTAATAGGTGAGAGAAATAATATTAATGAGAGAATCAATTTGTAATTATCTATTACACCTTTTAAGGAATTTTTTAACTTATCACATGTCAACTCACACCCCACCCTCACGTTACTCAAAATATCATTTTCATAAATATAGTAATTTATAATTGACAAGATAAATCTTTCCCTTGATATTCTTCTAATTAGTTGATTTTTATTTTGATTATTTTATTATTCCCAAGATAAATATTGAGTACTATTCAAATACTTTTTATTTATTAGTGACTATTGGGGCCTTTAATTTTTTTTTAAAAAAAGAAATTTATCACCGTATATTGTAACATGTAAATTTCTCTCACTTTAATCTATTTTTTTTACCTTTCTTCATTTTTTTAATTTTAAATTTTGATTTTTATTTTATTTTTTTTAATATGATTTTTTTAGAATTATGAATTCTATATTTTGAAAATTTGATTTCGTTTTTTATTTTAATTAATCTGAAACTTGATTTTTTGAGAATACTGAAATTTTGAACTCGTTTTTGGTGTGTTTTTCTATATCTAAAATACTATTTTGTGGGTGAAATAAGTATATTTAATTCTAGAATTTGTTGATATATATAGATAATAAGAGATCATAAAATCTTTAATAAGGAGTTCCTAAGTTTTAGCCTAAATATGATAAAAATAAAAAAAAAGACACACTTAAACACGAAATATAAATTGAAGAGAGAGAGGAAAATATAGAAGTTGTATTAATTATTGCAGTTTAGACTTTTAATTACATGTTTTGATTTTTGGGTGATGTATATTTCTTTTGCTACAATTTCTGACAACAATATATAATATGCATTGTTTTACAGTCAGATTTATTCCCAAATTTATACTTGTTGGATACCAATTTCATACATTTTTATTTTGTCTTTGTTCTAAAATTTCAAGTTGGATACCAACTGTATATAAATTAGATACACATTAACTTGTTTTAGATTGTGTAATTTGGTTGAAATATTAGTTACATTTTGTTTTTTTCATTTTCAAGTGGGATATCTGTTGGATACCATATTGGTACCAATTAAATACAACATTAACTTGTTTAGGTTGTCTAATTTGATTGAAATCTCAACTACATGTTGATTTTTCAATTTTCCAATGGGATATCAATTCGATACTAAATTTATACACATTGGATACAATATTAACTAGTTTTACGTTGGCTATTTCAGTTGAAATCTCAATTATATATATGTTTTTTTTTTAATTTTACCACTGTGACGTCAGTTGGATACCAAATGTATACCAATTTCATACTAAGATTTGACTTAATTTTTTCAGTCGATATCAATCGCATACCAATATTACCTATTTTTTGAGTATACATTTGAAAAACACTGAATACACAAATGATTAACTAGCACCCATAATAAATATTCTGAAATTATAATTCATTAACTTAAAAGACAAAATAAATCAAAACACGAGTTTGCCACAATAAAACAACCAAATAAAAATAAAAATAAAAATAAATTATGTCTTTTTTCAGAAGGGTAATTTGAATATGTCTTCCGGTTGTGTTCCTCCCGACGACATGTACTACAAGTAATCTTAGACCTCTTGAATTTCACATCAGCAAACCATTTACAGCGTTCAAGTTGTGGTCTCCCTACAATTCTTTTTGAACCAGGCGACAATAATTTATGCTCCGACACTTTTTGAATTGCATATTTTTCTGTTTCATCATAAATTATTGTGTCAGTATTACATCATACAATTGTTATGCATACAAAATTCATACAAAAGTAAAAATACATATGTTATTTTAAAACAATTTCATATGTTATTACAGAATACAAAAGTAAAAACACATATCTTATATCAATATGCAAATTTCATACAATTCTTATTCACACATTTCTTACCTATTTCATGCCAAAAGTTATCAATTATTCATACCAGGATCTTTGCATTAGAATACCAAAATAATTTCAACTTAGAAATATTAATTGTCATTTCTTTAATAAACAGTATACCAAATTCATTACATTATTATTCTTAAAATTAATTACAATATAATGCCAAAAAAATAGTCCAATCAAACTTAAAATCGTACCAAAAAACATTATCGATTGTCATACATGTCTGGTAGTATTAGTATACAAATTTCAAATAAAAAATTATCTATTTTTTAAACCAGAGATTTACCAAAAAGTAAAAAATGGGTCAGACAAATAATGAACAAATTCAATGTTCATACCAAAATATAACATTATACATTTAAAAAAAAACACTATAATTCAAATTATTATACACAACAAAAAATCTGAAATCAGTATAGAGATTTCATACAATTTTTATGCACACTTTTTCATACCTATTTCATGTCATAAGTCGTCACTTTTTCACAGCAAAATCATGCCACTATAATATCAAAATAATACCACTTCTAACTATTAATTGTCATTTATTAGACAAATAGTATACGAAATTCTTTCAAATATAATTCTAAAATCATACCAATATGGTATAACCAATATACCAAATTCAAATAAATTATATGTAACTTTTTAAGCAGAAACATACAAAACTTTGAATGTTCAAACCAAAATCTATACCAATTTCAAACAAATTTTATGTAATTTCAAAAGTGAATATTCATAATTAAAAAGCCATAATTAAAACTATTATACACAAACAAAATCTGAATATTTTTTTTAGTATCACTATTCATAATTTTTTTTAACGTTTGGTTTGTATTACAATACAAATAAAAAATCGCAAAGAACACTAACCTGAAGGATCTCATCTACCACCATGCTTTATTAAAACTAATAAGAAGCCGTCCATTACAAGAAAATAAATATTATTAAATAAAAACAAATATGAATTAGATGAGAGTGACAGTTTACAGAGAAAATATTGAGAAGAGACAGAAACCTTCCAACAAAAGAAAAGAAATATTTTTGAATGAATTTTAACTGCTTTGAGCTAAACAAGGAAAACAAATATTTTGTTTTGAATCACCTAAATTTATGGCATTATTAATTATCCTTAATGTATTCAAATGATGACATATCCGCTTTTTTTCTTTTTATGATTTTCAAAAAAATATTTTTCACTATTATTTTAAAAATCTTTTTTTTTAATAAAATGTTACAGCCTGAAATTTTTTATTGTTACAACTTGAAAGTTTTATTATGCTGTCATAACTTGAAAATATTAGTCTTATATATGTCATTTATAAAATTTTCACTATTTTATATATGATTTAAGTAAATTTTATCACTCTTTCTTAGCCCACCAATGGTCAGATGACTTTTTAGATACCTTTTCTTCATTGCATTTTTGGAGAAGCAAATTGCTTCAAATTCTGAATATATACTCCGTCTGTCCACTTTTATTTGTTATGCTGCATTTTTTAAAAGTCAATTTGACTAATTTTCAAAGTTAAATTTGATTACATTAATTCGATATCTTAAACAAAAAAATTAGATATTCAAAAACTATATGAAATTACAATTTTTTGCATATCAATATGATGAAAAAATACATTGTAAAATGTTAATCAATTTTTTTATAATTTAACTCTAAAAAATAAAATTATGACAATGAAGACTGAACGGTGGTAGTACTTTATTGTCTTTGAGACTTATTTCGTATTCATGGACTTTTATTTGGTCCGGATGGAATGCATATCTTTCTTGTATCCAAAAAAAATAATTTATAATTTTTTTAAAAATAGAAAATACTTACCTATCTAGAAATTTATGTAAGAATTAAGTTGAGTTTAAGGGTAAAAATGTCTTATATGGAGCACCATTTTCAAAATATATTATCCAAATCTAACAGGGACTTCAATTCAGGCATTGAATACTGAATTAAAAAATAAAAATAAAAAATATTTTGATAATTTAACGCTTAACTTTTGTAATTTTTACTTTTATAATAATATATATTTATCATATTCCTCGTAAGTCCACTAGTCAAAGAATCAACAAAGCCATCTTTAATTTAATTTAAACCTAACATAAACAAGAAACAATTCCATCATAAATAAATTGCCATATGTGCTCTTATGTCAGAGCAATACACTTGATATTTTACCCACAATTTCAATGGTAATTTAACATCTAACAACATGGAACTAATCATATTTACCAATTGTTTTTCCTCTTTCAACAAAATCATTTTATTGTGGAATATACAACGCACTAATTTGGTGAATCAAATCATTTTCTTAACAAAATAATTAGAGTTTAAACTGTAGTTATTTTATTTCTTAATTACTTATCACATTTTTTGTTTGTGATTATTTTTGCAGTGCTGGCTATATTTTTAATAGTAGTCCTAAAAGTGGTTGTTTGTAAAAATCATCACAATCTAATTAAGGCTTAACCAAATCCAAACCCCCCACCACCTCCTTGATTTGCCGTTGAAGGAAGAAATGCAATTTTTCAAAATTGAACTTTAACTGCTCAGTTTCTGTGTAGATTAATGGATTTGTAGTAAGCCATTAACATGGGAATCTTCAAGGAGAAGAAAAATGCATCTGGGCTAGCTACTTCACCTTGTGCTCAACTAAGAGAGGCTTACCATAATTGCTTCAACAGGTCAAAAAATCAAACTTCATGATATATTATTTACCCCTTTTGGCTAATTTTTTGTTTTGGATCAAGAACAGTTAGTTTTCTTTAGATTATTGTGTAGTTGATGTTTACCTAAAACCCTGAACCCTGAGATTGATGATGGGTTTCTTTGTAGGTGGTATTCTGACAAATTCTTGAAGGGTGAGTGGAATAAAGAGGAGTGTGTCATAGAGTGGAAGAAATACAGAGATTGTCTATCTGTGAGTTTTCTCTTCTTTGAATTCTAAGCTCAATCAGCTATCGAAAACAACCTCTCCACTTGTGGGATTACACTGTTGTTGTTCTGTATTTATTTTTGAAGTTACTTTTTCATTAAAAAATTTCAGCAACATCTGGATGATAAACATTTAAGTAGATTCTTGGAAGCTGATGGTGCTAATCAAAATGATTCAAAGAGCTCTGCTGCTGCTTCCAAGTAACACACAAGTGAGCATCTTGAAGTACCATGAAAAGGAAATGTGATTTAAAGTAAAGCATAATTAGAATGTTTTTGTAATTGTATTTGATGTCAAGTTAGGTGACGTGTAATCAATCAATGAAAGAGTACTCGAATTTTCCTCTGATTGAAAGGCTTTCCTGAGTTTTGCATGTAAACGTTTGAGTAGAACTAGGCAAGCATGCTGCATAACACTGAAAGATTGTCTTGCAATAACAATGCTCCTATTGGAAATTTTGTCACTTGATGGAATTTTAAGCTACGGGTTGTTAGACTGTGATCTTAGCTAAATTGCTTATGTTTTGTGATGTGTAAAGTGTTCATATTATCTGAACTTGTTCTGCCCATTAGACCAGTTGCATATGATTCCATCAAAAATCTTGTCGAATTTAATAAAAAAAGGGATAATGTTAAGTGAAGATAATTTGGATATGTAATGAGAAAAGAAGAGATTTTGGGAATGAATTGTTTGGTATTCCCTCAAGCGTGTTGCGTTTACATAATTCTTTACTAGTAATCCTATAAAGGAAAGTAGTTGCTGTTCCTATTTACACAATTTTAGGATTCTAAACCTTTCCTATGTATACGAGGAATGAGCTCTTGCAATATTAATAATTTCTTAATTCTTAATACTTCTCCTCAAGTTGGGGCATACACATTGTATGCTCCTAACTTGCCACAAAGTGATTTTGTAAGAATATTTGCTAACTGATCATTTGAGTTAATGAAGTAGACGCACCCCGAATTTCAATGTACTTCTATATGCTCTGTGCTCTCATGAAACACATGATTCAAAGTAATATGTATTGCTTCTTGATTGTCACGTATCAATTTCATGTGTGCATCTCTACCATACCTCCAGTCTTCGAGAAGTTATTTTGGCGATATAAGCTCACTTGTAGTTAAAGCCATTAAGCAGTACTTTGCTTCTGCACTCGATCTAGCTTTTACATCGTACTTTTTGCTTTTCTAAGCTACTTGGTTTTCTCCAACTAGAACACAGTACCTGAAGCGGGCAGTTTGTTTGAAGGAGATCCTATACAATCTGCATCAGAATATCCAGTACTATTTGTGTCTCCTCTATTCTCATACAATGGACCTTGCCTGTGTGACCTTTGATATGACTTAAGATACAAATCAGTGCATTCAAATGACTGTCAAATGGAGTCTAGAATTATTGGCTAACCACACTGACCACAGATTGAATGTCCAGTTGTGTGATCCTAAGATAATTGAGCTTCCATTCAATCTCCAATAGTGACCTGGATCTTTCAATGGCTCCTCCTGTCCATGCACAATCTTAACATTTGGCTCTATAGGTGTATCAACTGGTCTGCAGTTTAACATGCTAGTGTCTTCCAATGTCAAAAGCATATTTCCTATTTGAAATTGAAATTCCACTGCTGCATCGGGCCACTTCAATTACTAGGAAATATTTTAGTTTACAGAAATCTTTTGTCCAAAAGTGACTGCTAAGATGCTGCATAAGATGAATGACGCCTTCATGATCATCACCTATTATAACAATGTCATCCACAAAAACAACCAAGAATATGTGTTTGCCATTATGAGAATGTTTATAGAGCACTGAGTGGTCAGCTTCACTTCAAAGCATGTCAAACTGTTGGACAACTGTACTAAAACGGCTTGACATGCCCTTGGTGATTCATTAGACCATAAAGAGATCTACGAAATTGACATATAATCCAGATCCTCCCTAAGCGACAAATACTGGTGGTTGCTCCATCAAGAAAAGAATTCTTGTTATCTAACTGATAGAAGGGGCAATGAAACATGACCATGGAATAAGGCAGTGAACAAATACAATCTTCACTAATGGAAAAAAGGTATCACAATAATTAAGATCATAAATCTAAGAATATCCTTCGCTGCTAATCTAGCTTGGAGACGAAACCTTTCCATCAGCACCCATCTTCATAGTAAATACCCAGTGACATTCAATTGTTCTTTTTTCCCGGTGGTAAAGGAACTATCTCCCAAGTTCCATTATCATGAAGAACACTCATTTCCTTCACCATAGCCTTCTTAAGCTTTAGTATTTCTTGGTGATCCTTAAAGGAGAGTGAAGAGCTTGCATTTTATTTTATTTTTTGCATAAACTTGGCTACTTTGTTAAGTTTTGTCTCGTTGGAAATTGAAATAGAGACTGAAAATGATATCTATCATTTGTTGTTCATCCACATTTGGATCTCTGCTTTCTTAGATATGAATTGACATATCATGACATGCTTTAAGATTTTATGATACTGTCTATAGTCGAAGAGACAGACTATTTTGGGTGGAGTAATTCCTGATTCCTTACGTTTTTTCCCCTTGATTTGGTGATTTTCTGCTTTTAGACATGACATGCCCAAATCCTTCCTCCCAGGGGAAACCTTTGTTCGCCTCTCTACTTCGTTAGATTAATGGTGGTGTGAGAAATATAAGGGAAGAATATTATTAAATTGTTGTTGTGCCTACATTATTACATTGAGACACTATTTATAGACACTACAATACAATACTTAGGATACTATTTACTATACCTATTTCTATTTCTATTCCTTTTCTAATAGGATTGTATAAACGTATTCCTATTCTAATAGGATTATATAAACCTATTCATGTTCTAACACCCCGCCCCCCCTCAAGCTAGTGCATACAATTCATGTACCTAGCTTGTTACAAATGTAATTAATACGAGGACCGATGAGGGGCTTGGTGAGATTATTGCAAGTTGATCAGTCGACTTCACAAAATTGACAGTCAATCTCAATGTGTTTGTCTTCTCATTAAATACTAGATTTGATGTATAATGTCAGTCCATCTCAATGTGCTTAATCTTTTCATGAAATACTGAATTTGATGCATAATGTCGATAAAACACAGAGTGATAAAATTACAGTATTGAACCTCCCAAACCAAACTTGCAAAGACTTTCAGACCATAGAGTGACTTACATAATTGACATACAAGGCTACTAAACTCCCCTTGAGCAACAAAGTGCTCAAAATCTAGTATAAAGTATATGGATCGTGTTGGAATCAATAGATGAGTCGATATTAAACAAGAAAGTCATCGAAAAATTGGCTGAAACATGCTCATATGCCGGAGTATTAGATTTGATGGCCGAAAGTGGTCACAATTTAAGAAATAAAATTATATGGGTAGGGTCGGAATGATGGCACGACCCAACTATAAAATAGAAATTGTATAGGAAAGGTCGGATTGATGGCACGACCCTATTGAAAAAGAGAAATAATATGGGTAGGATTGGAATGATGGCACAACCATACGCAAATCAGATTTGAGGAGTCACCAGAAAGATGAATGGAACTATGCAAATCAAATCTGAGGAGTCACCAAAAAGACACATGGTGCTATGCGACTCAGATATGAGAAAGTAGTTCGGCAAAATCCACGGTACTACGCAAATCAAAAATATGAAAAGTAGTCCAGAGAGATGCACGGTACTACACAAATCAAATATACAAAAAAGGGTAGTCATCGGAAGGATGACACGGTGCTACAAAAATTAAATATGAAAATCACCGGAAAGATGGCACGGTGCTACACAAATTAGATATGAGAAAGTAGTCATCGAAAAGATGGCACGGTGCTACATAAATTAAATATGAAAAAGTAGTCACCGGAAAGATGGCACAGTGCTACACTAATACCGACGAATATGGGGTTGACACAAAATAACCCTAGAAAGTCACTGGAAATTGACGCACGGTGACCTGTCTGATTGAGTTTTCTTCCCTAGAATATGTTCATATATCATTGTTCCTACTTTTGTTAACATTCATTGGCCAGACGGGCAGCGTATATGGGTAATAGCAACCCGCCGGCAGTGGAAGCTCTTTGATTCTCTACCAAGATCGTAGAAGCTCTAATACCATGTGAGAAATATTAGGGAAGAATATTATTGAATTGTTGTTGTGTCTACCTTATTACATTGAGACCCTATTTATAGACACTACAATACAATACTTTACCAAGTAGTCACCGAAAAGATGGCACGGTGCTACATAAATTAAATATGAAAAAGTGGTCCCCGGAAAGATGGCACGGTGCTACACTAATACCGACGGATATGGGGTTGACACAAAACAGCCCTAGAAAGTCACCGGAAATTGACGCACGGTGACCTGTCTGACTAAGTTTTCTTCCCTTGAATATGTTCATATATCATTGATCCTACTTTTGTTAACATAATCATTGGCCAGACGGCAACATATATGGGTAATAGCAACCCGCCGGCAGTGGAAGCTCTTTGATCCTCTACCAAGATCGTAGAAGCTCTAATACCATGTGAGAAATATTAGGGAAGAATACTATTGAATTGTTGTTGTGTCTACCTTATTACATTGAGACCCTATTTATAGACAATACAATACTTTACTTTACCAAGTAGGATACTATTTACTATTCCTGTTTCTATTTCTATTCCTATTCCAATAAGATTGTATAAACCTATTCCTATTCTAATAGGATTATATAAACCCTTCATTCCAGCTTCCGGTTTATGTTAAGGTTTAATGCAGATAACGTTCCTTGGTCAGAAACCTGTTCCTATATTTGCATTGATTGTGAGACACATGTTTTGATGATGAACAGGATTCGATACTTCGAGTCTATAACTAGTTAAGTTCAGATGAATTCTATGATTACAACTCTGGTTTCCATGTTGTATGAGTCTTTGCAATGGGGTATTGGTTTTAGTCTGATGATCTCCCTTCAGCAATGGTCATCTCAGCGTTCCTTGTGCAGAATGTTAAATATTTACTCAGTTTATCTGCACAATCATTTTAATTCTTGAGTTCACTAATTTTTTTAAGGTAAGCAGGCAAGGTTTTGGAGTTTAGTACTTGCTCAACGCATTACTAAATCAAGCAGATGCTGTTTTTTGTCAACCAGCTTGCACTGAATATATAGTTAGACTGAACGGCCACACTCTCCTTGGTTCATGTTTACATTTGATGTTATATTGGGCACATTAGCTAGAGTCACGCTTGTCACGTCTCTTTTCCGGTTCAAGTTCAGTAAAAACTTTTTGAAAAAAAGGACTGATGG